ACTCCACTGTGAATTTATAACAGACAAATATGTTCACGAGAAACCATAAAATTATTTTTGTTAAATTAATTGCGTGTGAAAACTCTCTCTGACGATGGAAAGAGAATGCGTGTTTACAAGCATAGGTGTTTGAAGTTCGTATTGTATGGGCCTGACACTTAAATTTTCTAGTTACTGAATACATTGAACACGATAGTTTTCAGTGATTTATGAAAAAGTAAAATTAATTATCTGGCACATTTTAATTGTTAAAACTTGCAATATTCTTAAATCTTAAAACTAATTTTCTTGTTACACACCACACAAACAAATGACATTGAATTGGTTTTACATAATTTAAAACTATTTTTATTTTTAAAATAGAAAAAAAAACTAATATTAATGTTAATTTACACATATCTAATTCATTAAAATGAATTTATTATTAATATTTCAAAAGAAGGATTTTTATACATTGTACTGTCGAGAAAACTCGTAATTTTTTTCAATGGTATTAATCAAAATTTAGTCTATTATTGTATTTGAACATAATTAATTTTCGGTAGAGGTTATTAAAATAGTGAAAACTCGTTATGTTAGAAATAACAATTTTACATTTAGCGAAATTCTCTGTTTTTGGAACGGGAAGTGCAACAGCTCTGTAGCCAAGATTGGATACGTGGGGTAGCTGTCACTCGTCAGACTCAGAGACATTTATGGAATAGCCAAGATAACTAAACAAAATGAATGGGGTGGTAAGGAAAAGGTGGTTATGGCGAATTTTCAAAGATGAATTCCAAAATTTGCTCTCTCTAACATAATAACGCCTTTGTACACGGTCAAGTAAACCTTAGATATATAACTTTGTTGTTTAGTAGTCTCTAAGTAGGGCAGAAACCCCGGGGAATAGTACGCAGAACTCGATATGCTGATATGTAGACATAATTAAACCAACGATGGCAGCATAAATACTTCACATGATATAAGTATATAATGTTGTTAAGCAACAGCCGTGGACGAGGATAAACGTAATATGTCTTTGGTGAAACATTACTTACCCTTCGGGCATGTAGCGTTCAAATTAATTTTCGGACCTTTGTTCGTACAACCGAGCACACGTCAAACTTACAAATAATCGAAATTCAAAGGACTTATAGCTTGTCAACAGTACGTAGAATATTCTTTGACTATTCCCATATTACAATCGAATAAATTGCAGTATGTGAATTTAAGTTGTTGCAAAGATTCATGATTTTCTTTGCCATCGTCATTTGTTTATTTTGATAATAATTACAGTATTTAACTCTGTATTTAGTTACCTACAAATTCAGTTGCATAATTTTCTTTGATGATAGAGAAAAAATAACAAACATTTATCATTAGATTTTAATGTTTTAAATCATTATGAAGAAGGAAATTATTCTAAAATAAAACGTTTATTACAATTTTAAATTTTGAATTATTTCAATATAAAAATTACAAGATGGTTTTTCTTGTAATAACGATTCCACAACATACTTCGGATGATAGTAGTTAATTGCAATACTTTAACAAAATATGTTAATTAATTAAAGAATTTTTTTTTAATTGCGCCAATGTACAGTATAGTGGAAGCAACAGCGCGTTCTTGTATTTTTTACTCTTTAACCCTTGGTTTGTTCGAACATAAATGTCTACCTACCCTCCGTCAACTTTCCAACGTCATCACCGTGTATATATTGCTAATTAAAACATTTTTGAGCTTTTACCAACATACCGAAGGCAAAGGCACAATATGTATTTCCTTTGTGAACGCGTACAACAGTTTATACCTGCTCACTTTAGAGGGTGACTGTGGTGTTGAAGCAGCGAAGAGTGGGGTAGTAGAGAAGGTATACAAAAACATGTACATACATACACATAAACACTCGTTTTGTTATTATTTTCCACGACGGTAAAACTTAACTCGACTTTATCTAATAAACTAATAATCTCTCTTGTAAAACGCCGGGCGTCCGTAAAGTTAGCTGCTGCTGCTATTCCGTCACTTTCAAAAACCTTCGAGCCAAGTATATCCATAAGTATGCACTTGCTAACATATTATAGTTTTAATTAATTACGCTAACGGCGGATGTACACTCGTGAATATACTTCTATAGACAACGGTGTTTAACCAAATGTAAAAGCAAAAGAGAGATACACTATAAGTGTTGTATGCTAATAAAGTGTTTCGTTACCGTCCTCAAAACTATGTGAGTGTAATTTAATTTACCTTTTGGACCTGAGAGGTACAGACCGCGACGTACATTAAACGATGTTGGATTGAGTGTTCTTCATTTGCTGGGATCTTTTGTACGAACATGTCTAACAACCGCGCTAGTTGGTCGCACACTTTGCTACTCATTTAACAACGATTTGAAAATTATTAACGAATAGATTTAAGTCTTCTATGATTTTTCATCTAACGTTTTTTATTTCATTATTCTTATAAAATTACATTATGTAAAATTAAAAGCCAAAATTAATAGAATAAATTATTATGAATCTGAATTATTCCTGCGGTTCGCTTATATATATTTTTAAATCTTAAAAAGCTTTAAGAATATATTCATTATGAAATAGAAATGTTGCAAAGTCGTTTGAAAAATTTACTGTAGTCCACAATTATCGATCGTTCAAACCATTAAGAACAAGTAATTATTTTAAGATAATTAAAAATGTCTCGGGCATTGTAACGACTGTCGTCATCTTTATAGCCACAACGACTCAATTGCCCTCAGTAAACGCTGGCGGCGCCCACCCTCGTACTTCTAGATGATGATCACATACAGCAATGTTATACTACCAACTTGATAAATTGGTCCATAAACGATGGTGCTAAAGGAAAAAAACGAAAACGTAAATCCTCCAATTGGTTGAATGTTCATTATTACGTTGTTCTACATATTTATGGGTTAAATGTTTTTAGAATAGCAAAAACCGTATTTGCACAGAACTTAGTTTATGAAAATAACAATTTATCAAACCTAATAAAAATATGCAGAAAAATTAAAATTGTCCCAAAAGTCATATACACTACTATGGATTTTATATTGCTGTGTCGTAAGTTTGATTGATTTCATTGGATGCGTTGAGTGATGAGGGAAAAGCCAAATATATTGAAAAAAATGCCTTCTATGCACGTCACCAAACAAGTGAAAAATGACTGTTGGATTATGATGTTGATGCGACGTGTCACGGATAGCTGACAGGGTTTGTTATAAATCAACTACACTAGACAACGGTCAGCCTCGTGTAACGTGTGGTAGGTGTTCAATTCATCTGTGCGTGGTCCCTTCGGATTACGTTACGAATTGAACTAAACTACTCGAAAAGAAAAGATAAACTGCAGAAAACTCTTGTCATTTTAATAACATCTTTAATCGTGCTTAGAATTTTAGCGTCGAACGAACAAAACAAATGAGTTAACTAATAAACAAATATCGTTTGATATAAACAAATAACAGCTGTCCCCATGCACGTTGAGATATCAATTCCTTACACCTATCGTTACGAATATCTTATTTTGATTCTAAATATTTCAAAATGTTTTTATATCCATGCCATTATATTATGCAAAAGTCGTACAAAGAGATAAAATGGATCACGTACAAAGTCGAAAAATTGTTCTCAGGTATATCACAGTGCCTTTGGAACGTGTAGAATAATATATTATAATGCATATATTGTTACGGCATTTTTTTTTTAAATAAGACTTTAAAAAATATGTAGCTAACGCTAACGGCAAAATAAGTACGATGAAAATGAAAAGTCGCAGGTTCAAATGACGACTATTAAAGCATCGCCATAGTATCTGTAGCTGTTCAGCTCTTAATTTGTCATAGTTATTGTGCATCAAATTTTTCATAATAATAATAAGAAAAAAACAACACAAGTTTGAAAAATCTAAATAACTCCCCCCACAACTCCATCAGGAATAAATAAATGTTTTTTTTAACTCGCATCCCCTCTTACCATTTGCTTTTTGATATTCCGGACGGAACTTTTATCTTGCCCAACAACAACAGGTCTTCCGGCTGAATACTAAATAAGAATACTTAAACGCATTAAAGTTGTCTTTCTAAAGAAATTCCATATTTTCTTGTCCTAACCAGAGGTAGGGGGAAGGAAAACGTTATTTGATATTTTTCTTAATGTCGCGCGTCAGACTCGGCATACCAAATGTCTAACAGTCTTTAAATAAAACGCAAAAAAGTCGCTGGGGTTTTGATCCGATCGTAAAAAAAGACTCGCAGTCCAAGATGTACATGTGACCATAAAAGAAGAAAACTCTTTCGTTCTACACGTGCATGTTGTACGTATGCGTTTCGCCTGGTCGGACTTTATAGCAACCGCAGCCGACTATAATTTCCGTTACTGTATTTTAAACTCGCATAAAAAATAACACCATAAACCAAACGATTTGGATGTAATATTCTGATATTATTGTGCAAAACTACCGTAAATTACATTGGCAACTCGCTTGTTTACGTGCCGTGCTTATGGCGCGATGTTTCATCGTTAAAAATAACGTATTTCTGACGTTAGTGTTCGCTCGTTGCCCTAAATCAATATGTTTTGATCAACAGTAATTATTTTTAACACGGTTAAATTTAACAAAAAAATATTATAAATTTTTAATACAATGCTGCATGTCGATATAAACAATAATTTTTGTAACCTTCGAATAACTAGTTCACAAGTGCATTCAATTATAATTAAGAAATAGTTGAGCAACGTTTATCACGTGTGCACTGCATAATTAAAATAGGCACTGACGTATGCAGTTTTATTTGCAAAATGCACAAACTCGGATTCAATAAAATATAAATTACATTATATTCTAAAACATTTTTATATTCTTGTTTTTTTATATATTTATTATTATTACGATATATTCTTGGCCGACCCCAAGTGGTTGGGATTAAGACGAGAAATAAGAAAAAAGACATTTTATTGTAAAACGTATCTGAACAAAATGATAAACTCGATTTTTTTTGCAGAAAAAATGACTATGGACGTCAAAGCTAGTCAAGTGGCCGCTAGTAGTGCCACAAAGTCTAGCGCTAACGTAGGAGCTGCAGCTGCCACGGGAGGACAGGAATGCGCCGGATGCGGTAAACACATTACTGACAGGTAATTGAACATTCGACACTGTCGAATTCGACAATATTTATGTAGCGTGCGGTTTTCCCGGAATAGATTTTTGCTGAAAGCTTTGGATCTGTTCTGGCACGAAGATTGCCTGATGTGCGGCTGTTGCGGGTGTCGTCTTGGAGAAGTAGGATCCACGTTGTATACAAAAGCCAACATGATTTTATGCAAAAAGGACTACTTTAGGTATATACCTGATGCTATTACGTGCACCGTATACGATGCTATTACTGATTAACAGGTTTTACAGGATGTTCGGGAACAAGGGCATGTGTGCAGCGTGTTTCAAAGACATACCCGCGTTCGAGATGGTCATGCGGGCGCGAAGCAACGTTTATCACTTGGAGTGTTTTGCGTGCCAACAATGCAATCACAGGTAACTCATCTTGTCTAGAGTAATACGGAAAGTAGACAAATAGGGATCGGACTCCTTGAACTAAAGTTTACCGCTCTATGATTGAGTAAAATCTCTTACGGTTATTTACACCGACCGCTCTGGAAACGCATTCGTGATAGAACGTTTTGACCCTATCGCGCCGCCTGTTGTAAAATCCACGTTAATTCGACTTTAATTTATGCAGCAAAACAACGTGCAGTTTAGTTAGTAATATTATCGGTATTTATCTCGCAACTACAAGGTTTCCTTAATATTTATTTTTTTATTTACACTGATAATTGATGTAAAACGATTTAATGCATTTTTCCATTTCAATCGGGAAAAAATGTTATGTTTTTACCGTGAAAAACATCAATTGTTCATGAAGAGTGCGAATTCGAACAGAATTATCACAAGTGGACATAATTTTTGCTTTTTCTCGCTTTAACCTGTTGGTAGTGTAAATTTTTTGTTTCCGAAATTGAAGTTGGCAAATATTACAATTTATTTCATTGTTTATTTTAACATGGATGAAAAAACCTTTTCTCTGTATTATTATTATTTAAACGCGGAGACATTTGATTTTAATATGATTGATGATAATTCCTATGAATAGGAACTATCCCATGCGGGTTTACCAATAATAGTATTTTGCATGCGCAAACGTGCGTAAATTTGTATTACTATGTATATGGTGTAATATAATTGAAATGGCAACATCTGTATGCCTAATTGACATATTGTGACATATTAAATATCCAATGTGTACGCTGCCGGATAAAATCTCTCTATGGTCCCAGACAATTATGAGAAAACAATAACTCATATCTCCAACGTTTATACCGACCGTCCATCCGTATGTCCCTTAGCCAGTCGATCTGCGTCACAACCCCTTCGAAAGCCGTAACGCCTGGAGGGTATATACCCGTATGCCCAGTAATATTCTAATACCGAATGCCCGGCATTGTCACGATGGCTCTTTATTCTCTTTTACTCCAATTAATTAAACACACGCCGAATATACGATGAGGGGAGGAGGAGTAAGTGAGAGAGGAGTTTGGCCAATGACTACATACTACAACTACAAACTCCTGTTACTGTTACTCGCGCATTAATTAAATTTCATTCCCAAAATCGGTAAAGCCCGTGTGCTAACAATTCCTTTTATTCCCCTCATCACCATCATAGACATTCCAACGAGTCGTCGTAGGCTAGACAGATTCCTCTACCCCCTCTCATTCACCTGGTTGTGGATATCATATTTCAAAACGATTTCCTCCTCTTACTAATCTCTATTCTTTTGGTTGTCATATTANTTAACAATTCCTTTTATTCCCCTCATCACCATCATAGACATTCCAACGAGTCGTCGGCTAGACAGATTCCTCTACCCGCTCTCATTCACCTGGTTGTGGATATCATATTTCAAAACGATTTCCTCCTCTTACTAATCTCTATTCTTTTGGTTGTCATATTACTAAAATTTCACTGAAATTGATTCAATGGAAATCCGTTATGTACTACAATAGTTTAAATGTAATTATAATTTTTTAAATAAATATTGATTTTTATTTAATGATGTTTTGATGTCAAAACACCTGTTTCGTATTGAATATCAAATAAAAACTAAATAAAAATTATTTGGCGATAAAAAACATTTCAAACAAATTTCACAAAGTATAATAATTACTTATAATTATTGTTCAAATATTAACTAAGGAAAATAACACTGCCTATGGTATTATAACTGTTATTAGAGAACATTTCATCGAAACGATCAATCAGTTTATGGACACTGGTGTAAGAAGCAAAATATTATTGTGTAATTATTACTTTTTTATTAGCTTAAAATACAAATCATTATTAAAGATATTTTAAAAGTTCCTTTAGAATATTGATATTAGTCACCTAAATTCATTGTATTGCTGGTCAAATGTAAATGTAGCGAATAATTCAGCAAGATTAACAGTGTTAAAAATTAAAGGTTCCTTACTTAAATTGCACTTTTCAAAACTTGAAATAGAAACTTTTCTATTAATATTATGGTTTTATTAGATACTAATGGTTTGAAACTGTTCTATACTTAGGGGATATGTCAGTACGTATGCAACAAATAATGTTTGTGAAAAAAGTTAACGTCTCGAATGGTCGTAAATAACACCTTAGGATCTAACCAATTTCAACTGTTTCAATAGTCTAACATTATAACGGTTATCAGAAACTTCTAACTACAAAACTTTCTAGTTTTTACTTACGCCTTTTTTTTTTGTTGTCTTAATAATTCTAAGGGGCTAAACAAAACAAAACTATGACTTGTTTTAAAATTTAATACAACTTTAAAGAAACCTTTTAGCTGTTTTATTTTATATTGAAAATAAAAACTTAAAGTAAATGAAGACCTAGTTTTTGTGTAGGATATTTACTCGAAACGTTATTTTAGAGGTAAAGTACCATACCATAATCAAGTAAAATTCTTCTTAAATGTAATCCATTATATTTTATTATTTCTGCAAAAATATTCATCAATTGTACTTGATATTTCATCGATTATCGTGTTTAAAACCTAATTGAACTTAATCTTGTGTATTATATATTTGGTGTATTTTTAATTAATATTTTGTCTGAAATTTAAATTATGTGTTTTCCTCTTATTTATCAAAGCATTTGAGTTATTCATGTGGAAACTTATCTTTTGTTTTTAATATGTATTGTTTTTAAACACTATTAATTAACGTTAAAAATGATTAAAGATTTTCCACGAAATACAATAAGAAAAAAAGAACTGAAGCTTTACCGCTGCTTCATCAATAAGAAACTTATCTTTTTTTTCTCTTTTATATTTATCACGCGAACTTATCATTTTACATTTTTCCATAGCTCTATTATGACTGTGATTCATTCCTATGAACATTAATCAGAATATTTTTTAGGTGTGGATGGGCTATTACTTTTTTAGTGTATAACGATTGGCAATGGTCAGCGTTGTTGATCAAATACTTTATAAATAACTACGATTAAGATATCTAAGATATGACAATTTTCATTTTTCAATCCCTGACTAATTTATAATATTTTTACTTATTATTAGTCATATATTTTAAGTAGTCTATTCAATATTTATTTTATTTTATAATGTATTTTTTTTTTTTTACTTACTCTTTACCAAGAAACTAAATTTTTGTCTGAGAGAGAATAAGGAAACAAAGATTTGTGATGCCAATAAAAATTGTTGGGATCCGTAAACAGAATTATTAAGGTATACTATGCACATTATTAGAAAAGGCAAAGCAATTGCAGTAGGATAAAAAAGTAGGTTGTCCCTCACATCGTGTACAAGGACCTAACCGACCATGAGGATTCGGTGCCGCCGCAATCGGTTCAGACAGGTGGAAAAAAATGAGTTAGGCTGACAAGTGATAATCGAGTTTGGGTATGCAGCGTATGGGTCGGGCGTGTAATTGAATTGTCACTGGCAATCCGGGCAGCGGTGGCAGCAGCTAATTTAGCGTTTCCGCAGTGGGGCGATTGTCAAATCGGGCAAACACAAAGTTACCGTTTTCCTCCCTCGATCCGAGTTTTTTGTTTTACTCAGTCCTCTGTCTCTTTTGTATTTAAAAAGGTTCCCTTCGGTCCTACTCCTACATGCCTTCTGCTGCGTGCAAATATTTACAACTCATTTTTCTGCACGACTTTTATTTTTTTTGGTAAACACACATTCATATAACATATTATTTTCCGGCTGCCAATTGACGGCACCCACTCAGTCGCTTTAATGCTTACACACGTGAATGCAATTAAAAGAATAAAATAATAACGTTCGCTTATTATCTTTTTTTTTTCCCAGCGGTTCTTTTTCGCACACTAAGTACACTTTGTGAACAGATGAAAAATGGGCTATATTTAATTTAAATAATTTTAATAATAAACAAGAAAAACAGATTTTCATGTAACAGTTGTATACACTTGAAATAGTAAAGCAAAATTTAATGATTTTTTTCCTTTAGTTTAAGGGCCATATTAAATTTAATTAAAATTAAACTTAAATTTTACTGTCCGAGACAAAGGCTTTGTTTATTTTTCCCAAAGTACTCTATTGTCTATTATTAGTCGAGAACGAATGAGAAATGGTTTGTTGCTTGAATTCTGTAGCTTATGTAAAAATATATTTTTCGTTTTAAAATGTAAATCTCTCTAATTTCTTTTAAATACTCTGCGAATATTATGCGCATCAATAAACGACAGAATACATAAGCGAACGCCATTATGCCGAACAAAACTTAAAATAAACTTGTACGTGAGTCCGACGGACCATGCACGTTATTAGGATCAAGGTGAAGTAAGTAGGAGAGACGAAGAAAGACAAATTCGTCGACAAAACTGCCGTCATAATCCGGAAGGGTCTCAGCCCCTTTAGCAGCAGGAACAAGTCTTTCCTATAAATACACACGCACATATACATGAAGGATTAAAGACTTAAATCACAAACTCTGCCAGCATAATAAAGGTTCTAATTCTTCGCGTCTTTTCCAAATCTGTATACTTTATCACGTGTCGTCTTCTTAATTCGATGTCTGCTTGGCTTATCGCCCACTCGCCTACTCTGCTGGCGAGAGCTCTTCCTCTCCTCTGCACTGCAAGTATCTCTTCCCTCAGGATGGGCTTTCAGTCCACGGCCATGCAGGTGAAGGGCGTCGAACATAATTATCCGTCGTCGTCAGAGCGATTAGACACCAAAAACTTTCGATAAGCGACTTCAATATACCCTCTTCTGTTTAATTTGTTGTTTGTCTTCTCTATCATTCAGCCTAACGACCGTTAGCAGAATACAATTTAATACGAGATTTTCTCAAAAACAGCTACGCCAACAAATTATTTTGTAATTTAGAAAACTGTATGCATTAATATAAATCGTATGCAAATGCTCCCAATTCGTCTTAAAACGCGTGCACAGGCTTATTTTCACCTTAAATAAAAAACAACATTTTCAATACACAGGCAGATTCTTACTTTAAACATTTGCTTTGTCTAAAAAAAACTTTGACATTTATTTTTAGCTGTATTCATATAAAACAATTGTATTTGAGTAAGATTAGAAAAATATGTTAGAGAATTTTGATTTCATATTTTGTTTAAAATGCACACAAATTAATTCCGAAGTTCAATTAGAACAATGTTTTTTTGATTATATTTACTGAACATTCTTTAAACTACATTTATATCAAAAGAATGCAAATATAAAAGCATATCAATCAAATACACCGAATACCGCAAAAAAGATACTATTTGTAAATTATGATTCATAATACCTACACAAAATTACAAAATAAAAGTTCTCGAACAAAAATTTGTTTTTTATAAATAATATTGTCGATAAATCATCTTATTTTTAAAATTTTCATGTTAAAAAAAGCAAAATTGAAATAATAATGACGGCTTTAATGACAAAACTGGTAAAAAATTAAACGATTTATAATGTCGTATACGTCAAAACAAAAAAGGTTAGGGTGAGTGGACTTAGTGACGGGGTATATGACGTTGGTTAATAAATCGAAAATGGCCTAAAGGATGCGAATAAGAGGGGAGATGCCTTGTGCATCGACAGCAGAGGAGGTAACATTTACTGCAAAATGTTATTTTCTCTTATTGCGTGCGTGTGTTATTTTTTAGTTTTTATTTTTCTGCTATACAACGAAAAGGCGGAGTTCATGAATTGCTTTCGATTTGGAAGTAACGGCGCAAAAAAAAAAAATCAACAACGACAGCGCGAGATGAAATTCGGAAATTGCACCCACTAATGACAACGGCGTGTTTAGATAAGGGCAATAATTCTTGTACATGACGGAGGAGACTGAAAACGCGAGAGACTCATAAAAAACACTCGGATAAAGGCGGCAGCCTTAAGCTGATAACATTCTCTTATGGCATTTCTGTTACTTCTCATCCATAGTTTGTTCGAGTTTTGAGGGCTCCAGTACGTCTTCACAAACCACATAATGCTGCGTCATTACGTTAAGAAAAAAACATTTAATGGACTTCGTTGTTTTCAGTTCCCTACAAAAAAGCGCGTGATCGGATATCATGAGTTTTCTGTTTATTAATAAAATCCATCCATAAATGTATATATTTCAACATTAGATATATTTCTAAATAGTAATATTATATATCAAACGTGTTTTTTGTGCTTAGCCAAAATATTTCCATTGATATTGTCTACAAATATAGTACACACGTTATGCCATAGCGCGTGAAAAATACAAAATTAAACATTTCATCAATTCATCATTTACCCCGGGTTAATAAATTTATTAATAATTATCTAAAGTCGATCAACGAGCACGTTTTTGTTTTAGTTCAATGAACTTCAAAAAAGCATTTACTAAGAGCGAGGATGAATGATGGCTATTTTTTGTTTGTTTTTTAGAACTAACTTTGTCTGATTGACATTCGGAGGTATTAATCATTGAGAAATTGGAGTTTTTTAACTGCTCTTTATTATCGAGTCTTAAAAATTCCCTAGAGTGGAATTAATTGAACGCGCTGACACCGACATACTGACGTTATTTTATCTACATTTATGTTGAACACATTAAATCTTTTGCCATCGACCATATGGGTACGGTTTTTTAAAGTCATACGGAGTCCTAGAGTTTAAGTAATATTAACATCTGTGCACGTCCACATCGTACCCACACGGGAAAATGATAAGACGCAATCATAACGTCATTTGTTCTAGACGATTTAACATACCAAAGTTGTCACAACACATTTCAATTTCTGGTAAAGATTGATCGATAAATAATGTCGGTTTTTAATAGTGTAAAGACAAAGGTAAAGATCGACCAAATTGGAATTGTGTTTGTTGTTGTTCGATGCCTTTGTGCATTTAACTCACCCGATACCTTCGAAATGAATAAACTGTTCATTAGTTAAATTGATCCGCTTAAATCTTCAAGACGTTATTAATAAAATTATGCATGTAGAAAACGACAAAGTACACTCGCGTCGAGACCGCCTCTCGTTGTTTCCGGAAGTGTCTGCTAGTACCGTTTTCGAAGGAATCCAGTGTCTCGTCGATAGCGCCGAGTTAATGTATTCTGCGTTTAGTTAAAACGTCATCTGTTGTTACCTAATAATTATTCACCTTATGGACGACAGCGATGCGTTCGCTGTAGCAGTTTTGGCACATTTAAACAACACTGCTTTACAAAGTGAGATGGGGTGGAGTGACTGAGTACGTGTGTGTGTGAGTTAAAAGTTACCCGTACAACTTTAAACGCGAATGAAACTTGATTTCGGCCTAAGGGTTGCGAACAAAAATGAGGACAGTCGGGTATAAAACGCGAGCGGGTCTGATTAATTATTCGACGGATTGTGAGAATTATGTGCGTATATCAAGTCGGAAAAGTGTAAGTGAGCGTTAAAAATGTAATTGTCGTTGCATCCATGTGAAAGGATTTTCGTGTGAGAAGTCGAACTCTCTCGGGAGACTTACTTCGCAACGCCGACTCGTGTAAAACTTAAAGCACAAAAACAAAAAAAATTATCTCTCGAGTGTACACCGTAACTATGTATAATGTGTTATACATAATTTTGCACTTCAGGTGATTGTGTTCGTACTAATATCTCATTGCTCGTGCGCGCGACATGTAAGCAGATCAAGAATAGCTGTCTTTATAATACAAAGATAGATATCAACAGAAGGATACTTTCACATATTGTGTGGAAGTATCGTTCTTTTGATTCGTCTCCTTAAATTGTTGCAATTACTTTATAGCGGATGCGCTGGTCATATCGCTGGGAATTCGTGTGGACAATATTAGTACATAAAAATGTTTAAAAACTTTTCGAAAGCAGTTATTAATCGCCACGACGTTTATTTTACCCTTCTTTTCTCCTCGCGCTACGCAAACAGCGCCATTAAGTGACAAAAAAGTGGAAAACTGTAACTTAACTTTCTAATTTATCGACACTATAAAGACATTATATCTCTCCGTTTCGAATAACATGATCGGCCCAGTTAGACTATTAAATTATTTATAAATTTGATTGGCTTGCACAGTTCGTAAACTGTTTTCTCATAAAAATGATTTAAAGATTTCAGAAAATAAATTACTCTTAATAAACAATCCGCCGGAAACTGTTGTATAAGCGGGTGAAGTCTTAAGTTGAGCAACGACTTAAAATCTATAAAACAAGATTTATTTAGAAGCAAACGAATTATTTTCTACTTTTTTTTTAAAAAATACTTTGGACGTTTTCTTATTACTATTATAGTGAATTAATTTTTACTAACTTTTACACCTTAACTGTCGCAGATAATTTTTGTGAATAATTAAGAATTAAATACTTATTTGTTTATTCATTAGTTCAAGACAGTATTGAATTCACGTTTAATTAAGTTTAAAATCAAAAAGTCTCTAGAGATTAACAAAATGATCAATTTGTCTAATGCAGAATGGTTTTATGTCTTTCAGATTTTGCGTTGGCGATAGGTTTTACTTATGTGAAAATAAAATACTTTGTGAGTATGATTTTGAAGAAAGAATGGTGTTTGCTAACATGGCTTACAATCCAGCAACATTGGCTCAATTGAAGAGACATGCCACCCATATCCCACCATCGGTGAGTTTTCATTTTTTTCATTAACTGTTCTTTAATAATCTAATTTTTGATACTACAAAAAAAAAAAACAATTTGTATTAAATAGACTTCAAATTTTGCTAGTAGTAGCAGATTATATCTTGTATGACTTATACTATTATTATTATTATTCTTTTTTGGTTATTTTTTTCAACTTTAATATGTTAAATATTATTAAAGTATAATTATAAAATTCAAATTTCACCAAATTACTGAAATTTTGTTTGGAAAATCAAAATTATTAATATCAACATATTTTCTATTGATTTGTGTATATTTGAATAGGTTGGTGCAGGAGCAAGGACAGATATTCCCTTGGCTGTTGGTACCAATGGTAACAGCGATCGACGACCCACATCGAGTGATCTTCCTCATCACCATGGTCACCATCATCATGGTCATCACTTAAATACACCCTCATCTAACGGTCACCAATTTGGTTCATCGAATACCACACCCAATGGTGACCAGACTCAACTTCCCATGTATGATGTGAAATAAGCTCTTGGTTATAACATAACTTTGTTTATTTATCTTTAATTTGATTATTAATTTTAGTTATACTTTGTTGTTAATTTAAATGATTATTTAACTTATTTGTTTTGTGCGAAAGCATTTTTCACATACCACGCGTTTGACTAAATGCCTAGTCATTATATTATAAGATTACTCACTATTTATTGTTAATCTTAAGATCAAAACATAAGAACTGCTAATGTCTTTCCCGTTTTCCAACTTAAATATTGTCTTTATGAGGTAAGCTAGAAAAATGTATTTTTCGTTTTAGTTTTAAGTTACTGCTGTGTAAATATATATGAACTCAAAACGCACTATAGAAATTTACAAAAATAAATCTACAAGAGTTTTCTATGCAGTGCCAAATGGTCGTTCCATTTTTAAGTTAGATGAGAGTAACTTTGTCGTAATATTAATAAAAATGAATAATTATGTTATTAAAACTGTTTAAACATTCTCTCGTGCAAATTTATGTATCCTCTGCCCTTTACCAAAGTACTGAACAGCGGTACCCATTAGCTTAGTGTTTAAAAGTACATACACTTAAGTAACTAATAATTAAATATAAATATAGAATAAGTTTATGCGTAAAATTAAGTAATCTTTATTTATAGGATCTCTTATTGTTTTAAAAATCCTAAGTTACCTTTTTATTGTTTTTATTTTAATTTTAAATGTTTTAAGATCACAAAACGATTGGCAATACATTACATTAGTATGGTGTAAACTTAAAACGTTTATAAAAATACACATGATTTGTTAATATCATTTATTGTTTTAATCATTGCCTATTTAGATTGATCTTATGGAATATTCATAGTTCCATTAATAAATTACAAAATAAGTGAGTATAATAAAAAATTTAAAAATTGTAAGTTTAATAACTTAAATACATAATTTGGTTATTGAAAAAAAACAATCTTTCAATGAAAAAACAGCCGACATTATAATTCCATAAAATAGTAACGTTTTCTAATAGTTTCTACTAATTTAAATAAAAATAAAAACTGATCAACACATAATATTTTATTTAAGGTGTTAAGTATTTATTCCCTATTTATTTTAAACATTTCATGTGTTTTGTGTAAATAAAATACTCTGACCAATTAAATATCGCACTTTTACTACAGGATGAAAGAAGTTTGCATTTCATCATTAAACACCCACGTAATCTTTTTCTAAATACTTCTAGTCTAACAATTTAAAACATTCATAAGTCATTTTGAAAGTCTTTTTGATGATCACACGATTGTTCATTTAACAGGTCATCATTGAAATAGATCCAAATAGTAATGAAAAAAAGTTCTGGTAAACCGATATGTGTTTGGGTGAGTTAAGCAAAAACGATAAANTTCTTGTAAACCGATATGTGCTTGGGTGAGTTAAGCAAAAACGATAAATTTGGCCGTCGACGTTTTTGTGGTATCGTAAAAATGATAAACCGTCCGTACATTATTTTTTATCAGCTCATACAGTCTGCTTTATCGGTGTACGACCGCCCATTGTTACGTGACTCGTGAGAAGCTAATATACTGGTGATGTACGGCGAGTATACGTGCCCCTTACTCGGATAGTTTGAAATATTATAATGTAGTTTTTCGTCTGTTCGAACATTCACAACAAACCGAACACGTTCAGAAATGCATTGAAATCTCAGCGGAAGCTTCCGTTTGAACACAAACAACGACTGGAGGAATAAAAAGGGACAAGTATACATTATTAAACTGTTGTGCATGACGTGCATAGTCAGATATTACTCCACCTATTTTAACGACCCTTTCAGAACAATGTAATAAAGCATTGTTAACCATGCCACAATTGTATTAAAATTACATACATATCTAGTGATGCAAAATTACCGTAATCATTTTTTCTTAAGAATATTTTTGGTAATGTTCTTTAAAATATTTTCAAAAGATATTTCTTGACTTCTTAGAATGTTCCATTTTATTTAACATGTGTTTATTATAATTGACACTATTGTAAATTGTTATTATTTTTAATATTTGAACGACAAAATAATTATTAAAAATCTATAGTAATGATAAAATATCTAGAAACCATTAAAAAACCATTAAATGGTGAAAAATAAAAAAACCATAGAAATTTAAAAATTAAGAATCCATAAAAATGCAAAAAAAGTAAGAAACCATAGAAATACAATAAATTGAAGAAGCCAAAGATATGCAAAAAAATGTTGAGATACCATAGGAATGCAAAAAAAAAAGAAACCATAGAAATGCAAAACATAAAGAAGCCATAAAAATGCAAAAATATTGAGAAGCCATAGAAATACATAAAAATTAAGAATCCATAGAAATGCTTAAAAATTCAGAAGCCAAAGAAATGCAAAAAAAGTTGAGATACCATAGGAATGCAAAAAAAAAAAAAAGAAACCATAGAAATGCCAAACATAAAGAAGCCATATAAATGCAAAAATATTAAGAAGCCATAGAAATGCATAAAAATTAAGAAGCCATAGAAATTTAAAAACTAAGCATCCTTAAAAATGCAAAAATATTAAGAAGCCATAGAAATGCATAAAAATTAAGAAACCATAAAAATGCAAAAACAACAAGAAACCATTAAAATGCGGAAAAATTTAGACTCCAAAGAAATGCAAACAATATTGAGATATCATAGGAATGCAAAAAAATAAAGAAGCCATAGAAATTAAATATAAAGATTGCATAGAAATGCAAAAAAAAATTGAGAAACCATGGAGTAGTTTTTTGACTCAAATGTTTTTAAACATTTTCGGATATTTTTTTTATAATACTATTCAACTATCAATCAAGATAATTATTTTTCCTTTATTAATTTTCAATAAATATTCATTGATTCAAATAAATTTTACGTTTTATTAATCATTATTATTGAAATTATTTTTTTAAATATATACTTCCGCAATAATCAGATAATAATTTTACAGAGATTATTCTCACACGCGAGACACGTGAGTTTTCCAATCATCATGAAAAATTATTATTAACACAATGTTTGGTTTATTAATTACCATAATTTAATCGAATGTTTTGATTTCTCATAATAGAAAATTAATGTAACTCTTCTAGTATAAGTCCTCAGAAAAAACTTAAGTTTATGCTTACAAGAGAATATTTTATTTTAAATTATGTCTCACACTTATACTCGGCACAATTTAAGGAGAGTAGGTACTGTTAACTTTAAGAGAATAAATAATATTATTATTTTTTCACAATTTTCAATCTATACATGGTCTTATTTTCAAAATAGTGATAGTAAGTATTAAAATAATAACAAAATTATTTTGATATTTATAGTCACAGTTTTAGATTATATAAGTGTTTCACAAAAAATGTGCTATTTATGTTTAATTATTTTCTTCAATCGCATTAACAAGTCTGGCCAGATACCTTTTGTGAAACAAAGGTATACACAAAATATATAATAATAGTATTGTCTACCACAACAGTAATAATGATAGCTATTATAATACAAGGAATGAAGTTTGAAATGTTTCAAAACCCAATTCAGTTGTCGTGTACCGTGTTATTGTGCGTATATTTGCAGCGTTATCGGCAAGGCGCATTGTTTTGGCGTCAAACAATAGCACGAGCCGGTTAAAACTTGAGATAAGCACATTAAGACGTCAAGAGAAAATTCAGGAAAGAGAGAGGAAGGATAATTAAATTATACGGCACATAAAGGGTAGAAGAGAAAGATAGGTACCCCACTAGACTAGTGTCACCTGTTCAGTAGAACAAAAGACCTTCAATTGGCAACAACGGTGACGTTTAATTGTCAACATTAACAATATGCTTCAAGCTTATCAATTTATTAGTATTGTCATCGTTAAATGAGCAAAGTTTCCTCCTACTTTTCCTGGAAACTGTTTTTTACCATTGTTACGTTTTGAACACACGCACCGTTTATTACAACTATGTGTAGCACATCAGTACAACACTAATGTATTCTTGGTGTATGCTTTTCAATCGTTATATTTTCACTATAAACTATGCATTTGTGTATTCTATTATAGTATAGAATCCATAAATGTTAAGCAGAATAAAATTAAGATGTATTTTTTTAAACTATAATATAATAATGTTTAAAGCAAAAATTTAGTCATAGATAAGTACAATTTTTTATAAAAAAATATATATATTATATTTAAATGACTTTTATTATATTTTAATATAGATACTCTGACAAAATTTAGAAGTATCATAATACTACCAGATCAAGGTAAGAACTGCTTATCCTAAATTTAACGATCTAAATTAGTGAAAAATAAGCAAATTGTGATATTTTTTTCTTATTATTTCATTATTTGAGCAAGTCTGTGCAATGAGTGCACCTTCGAACTTATGCCTCTGTGACTCAAAATGTCTTCATTATTCCACGAGAATATTCATGCAGAAGTGATAATACAATATTTTGGGAGTGCTTAATATTCTATAAGTTTAATAAAAATAGATAGTGAAATAATAAATACTTTTAGCATAGTGGAGACGTGGCATTGTTGGGACAAGTATTGATGACATCTGACCGTGATTAACATCACAATCATAAGAAACGATTCGATGCAAATCTGTAGATAGTATTTAATTTTAAGAATTGGTGGATTATTCCAAAAGCATATTGAACTCCTATTTCCTTATTTATATCCTAATTATTTGTTTTATGATATATAAGTCCAATATATGAATTAATATCTAATAAATTTTAATTTATTTATTAAAATTTAATAATTTTGTTTAACTTCGATGGCCATTTGCACATAGAAGTAGGTCGTCGAGACAAATTATATATTTTTTACTTATATTACGTAACATAAGCTTTAATTTAACATATATTTAAAAGACGCAATATTTCTGGAACATCTTCAAAAGTTAAGTTAAGAACGTTCTACTTTTTATAGGATTTTTCAAGTTTTGAACACCCCTTGTATAATAATAAATTGTCCGATTAAAAAAAAAAGTATGTTGGATGAAAGAGGTATATTTAAAAGTATTTAGAAATAAAAATTTGTGTTGACCTATACATTTTTTAAAAAGTTATAGCAATTTAAAGTTGAAAATATAAAATCGAAAATTTTAACACAAAAATAGCACGTTTTTAACTACGACAGTTATTTTTATGTAGACGATAAGTCGTCGGGATAATTTTTTTTTTTTTTTGAATTAATATTACTTAACATAAGCTTTAATTTAACATATATTTTAAGGACACAATATTTCTGAAACATTTTCAAAAGTTAAGTTAATTTAAAAGTAGCTATTTTGAATATCCACTATGGGCAGGTGAATAGTCAGGTTTTCAAAAAAAATATATAAAAGAAAAGAAAAATATCTAAGGTTTCTATTAAAAAAGAAATTATTTTGATACGTTCATTTTTCAAAAAGTTATTTCAGTTTTAAAGAAAAAAGATTGTCAAAACTTACTAATTATAAAAATTGTAATTTTTTTGGATATTTCCACCGTTTAAAGGAAACTAGGGAAATTTTTAAATGTTGAGAAAAATGTCGTCGATTAGATACTATTTTTGATCTTTTGATATATTGTTCATCAAAATCGAAATATTGAGAGCTGAGAAGAATTGGTAACAGACACACACAATAATAAACACATCATAGTAAAATTAATACCTTCATAGCTTCGCATCGAAGCTAAAAATCCAAGTAAATAGTTAATTAAATTATTTTTAACGCGACAGTACCTAAATATTATTATTTTTATAATACATATAATTAATCCATATTTACACTAATATTAAATTTCACCCA